CCATTATGCTATTTGTCACTGAAAAGAACACTTTTTTTTTTTTTTTTTTTTTTTTTGGAGGGGTTTTACCTCTAGGGTTAGCTCTAGGGTGCGTGCGCTCGCCAGACAGAGACAGACAGAGAGACAGAAAGCAAGAAATCACCCCCAGGGGGGACAGCCATGCTGCAATCCCTTCTCCTCCATTCTCATCTCGGGGTCTTGGGCAAGCAGTGAGTTTAAGCCACCGGGTCTGGGACATGAACCACAGTCGACTACATGGGAGTCCAGCGACATAGCCATTATGCTAACTGCTGGTCCTGAAAAAAACACTTTTAATAACAATCCTTCTTCCCTTCCATGACACTACTCACTACCATTTCCCCAGTTCTTTTTCTTTCTTTTTTCAATCTGTCCCTTTAAAGATATCCAAATTTTCAGTCTTTGGTTTTACACTCTTATTATTTTAAAGATGGGCTCAGGGACCAGCAGTTAGAGTAATGGCTATGTCGCTGGACTCCCATGTAGTCTACCACGGTTCACGTCCTGGACCTGGTGGCTTAAAACTCACACCGGGCGAGTGTGCATGCGTGCCCAAGATCCCGAAAGGAGAATGGAGGAGAAGGGATTACGGCGTGGCCATCTCCCCTGGGGAGTGATTTCTCGCTTTCTGTCTCTTTGTCTCTCTCTGTCTGGCAAGCGCATGCGCTCTATAGCGAAAACCTCTCCCCCCAAAAAACAAAACAAAACAAAAAAACAAGATGGGCTCATTATCTTTACATGTAAATTCATTGAACTTGTCCACAAACTCATGCCTGTGTCCTGGCACTGTGGTGTCAGGTAAGTGGAAAGATGGCATAGTTTGCCTCAAATTATCAGATGAATCTGTGATTCCTCTCCTTCAAGTGCCTTAGAGTCATCACTTAACGTACATAATTATTTTACCACTTAACTCCTTTGATGACTTGTCAAATTAGTTGGTTTCTGGATTTCTCTCCTAAATTCTAGATTCCAATTTTTCTGTTGGCCAGACTCTGTCCCATGGGTACCTCAGTAACCATCTCTAAAACTAAATTCATTATCTTTCCCCCTTAAGCTTACTGCTCCCATGTTTCTGATTTTAAAGAATGTTGTCATTTCCTCTTCAATTATTTAACCCAGAAATTTGGAACTTGTATTTAACTCTACTTCTACAAAGTTATTATTTTTTTTGGTCCTAATTTTTTCATTTTTTACAAATTCTTACACTTACCTTTCCATTTGTTTCTGTTTGATTGTGACCTTTTTAGTTCCTTCCTAGAAGATCACTTTAAGAACCAGATGAAAACCATTAATTCTACCCTCCCTTCCCAGCATGGATAGTGAATAATGTACATCTCCATAAACAGACTCTCTGGTTCAAATCTCAGCTCACTCACTTGCCAGCAGTATGGTACTTAGAAGTTATTTATCTCTCTGTTCTTAATTTCTTTATCTTCTGTATGAGATTAATAATAGCACTTACGCTATAGGATTATTATCAGAATTAAATGAGCTAATCTAGGCAAAGGTCTCAGAACATTGATTTGTGTGAAGTATTTTCCAATATTATTATAACAGCAAAACATCCATCTGGTCCTTCCATTTTAGGAGAGTAATTATTCTAAAAAGCACATGGCACCATATTGACAAAAACTCTTTGTTACATTAAGGAAAAAAACTGCAAGCACTTTGAGCTCTCCATTGACGTTTCAAACCTCATCTTTCATTGTTCTTCTGCCCTTGATATTGAAATGTAATCTGAAATGTACAGTATCCATATACCACCCCCTCCCATACCCCTTTATATATGTTGTTTGAACTCTCTGGACCGTGCTCCATTGTCCTCCGTTTTCTTTCTTAGCCATCATCTCCACATGAGAGCCAACATGCTTAGTCTAACCCTAGACCAATCTTTTGTAGTCACGTAACTTTATGAAAATTCTCAAGTCGTTGTGGAAGCTTTAAAATGATGCTATAGTAGCTCCATCATACTGTTGTGAAGACTGAGGTAATGCATGTAAAGCTTAAGCAATGCTAGAGTCATTATAAGCATCAATAAAATAACTCAAGAAGACTCTACAAATGCTGGACTCAGTCCTCAGCTTTTCATTGCTACCATGATTTTAATATTCCTCCTGTGTGGTTTGTGGTACTCTGAGCTTACCTCCAGCAAATAATTCTGGAATATAATTATTTGGCTACTGGTTTCTCTCTTTGATAAAATCTAGGTACCTTGAAATCACAGACTGAAATACATCTTTTTGTCTTTCCAGCAGTCTGAACGACAGCTGGCATGTTATGGAAACTTGCAAATATTTGTTAAATAATAGTGGATAAACATTCTTATCCCCCAGAGGAGAATCTGAAACAGAACATTTGTTACAGAACTATTTTTTGAATGAATGAATAAATTTATGAATCACATCTTGGTATAGCAGGCATGTGCTCCAATAT